CATGTCAAGCTTGACCCATGCAGCTCTTTGACTTCTGAGATTTCTTGAGCAATATCTGTTTCCTTCAGTGTATATTAAGATTAACAACACAAAAAACAGAGCCTGGAGGCAGTAAAACCTATATCTGAACTTCAAGACCTGGTAAACAATGTGGTGGGGAGGGGAGGTATGGAAGGCAAGAACCAGGAGCCTGATTTTTCCACAAATGGAACAAAACAGCATCTTGAGGCAGGCCTCCTACCTGAACTTCAATTTGGAAATATTTAAGTACACAATAAGGCAATCTCCAGATCACCTACTCCACTGCCCACTTGATCCATGCAGGCACATGCATGCTCCAGCTAGCCGAGACCAAAGAAATCAATTATAAAAACCACTTAACATGAGCAAAATATAGCCGGATCTCACTTCTTAACAAGAAGCTCCAAAGAAAAATTTGGGAAAAACAAATAACTTCTTTGGAGAGTGACAATCAAGGCTCTGGGGAAACAAATATCAATGGATCAACCCAAAGCTTCATGCAATAACCAAAAAGTTAGTTAGTCCAACATTTCCCCTTACCAGTTGTAAATTTAGAGAGAAATAAAAAGAGTTCTCAGCACTTGGTTTCCCTGAGATTCTGGAGAGACAGGAAGAGATGGAGCATGTGAGGGAGAAGGCTAAAAAGAGGGAGAGAAGAGAGAGACAGAAAGAAAGAGAAAGGTCAGGAGACTGACATATTTTGGGGTGGCAGATTTTTGTCCCCTATAAGGTTGTACCCATCATAGTCAAAGACTTACATTCCCCAGGCAGATTCTTCAGTTGATCTCATTTCGCAGTAAACAAGCCTTCTGTTTAAATTCTACAGAGTAATAACCTTTTATTCATTTTCTGAAGACTTGTAGGCACTTGAAAAATAAGGATAACGTAGGGTAAGTGATTTTCAGGCTTTTCTGCCCTCCCGCCATCAGGATAGATGATGAATCCTTGCGGTCCTGAATTCATGCCTGATGGAGGACACCTGGAGTAGGGTGTGGGCATATGTAGATGGGATTCACCTGGGCTGAGAGACTGGGCTTAAAAGGGCGGTGTCATGGGGACCCCAGCAGAACAAATGAAGAGCAGAGAAGCGGAGAGAAAGAAACAGCAGAGAAAAGGCCACGTGACAATGCCAGAGAGCCCAGATAGAGTGAAGCCTGCCAGCCTCCTGGCTCCCCAGCACCCCTGCCTGCTGTGTACCTGGTAAATCCCAATAAAAGCCTGCAAAAGCCACTGAGGTCCCTGAGAGCTCCAGGACTCCTCCTTTATCCTGTCTGCTCCGATCATAGAAAACCTGCTCTGGCCCTTCCTGCCCCTATAGATAATAAGCATAATTTACATTTACCCCCATATAGTAACCCTTAACCTTTGGTTTTGCCCAAGTTAAATTGTGTGTTCATGTGTTTGTGTAAACTAGTGATATATGGAAATACAAATTTTATATTTGTTTGAAGTTTTGTCATTACCTGAATTGATGAGCACAATATTAAAAGTCCTTCATTGTAATGTTTGTGTCTAACCAAAATTCCTATGTTGAGATCCTAATAACAAAAGTGATGTTATTCATAGGTGGGACCTTTGCAAAGTGCTTAAATCATTAGGGTGGAACCAGGAAGAATGGGTTAGTATTCGATAAAAGAGGATCAAGAGGTCCTGGAAGGACAAGGGGAGAATTTCTGTAATCCGAGCCCTTGCCCTACCATACTGGCACCCGACCTCAGACTTCTAGCTTACATAATTGTTAGCAGTAAGTCATCCAGTCTGTGGTGGTATTTTCTTTCAGCACCCCAACTGGATTAAGGCAGAGGTAGATAAGTATTTTTCAACATCTTAATTATACAAATACTTTAAGAGATAAAATTTAAGAATATCAAAGTATAATCCTGTAGGGTAAGGAAAAATGTCAGGCTTTTCTGCCCTCCCGCCATCAGGACAGATGATGGATCCCTGCAGTCCTGAATGCATGCCTGATGGCGGGCTCCTGGAATAGGGTGTGGGCATAGGTAGATGGGATTCACCTGGGCTGAGACTGGACTTTTAAGGGCGGCGTCACGGGGACGCCAGCAGAAGCTGAGAAGAAGCAGAAGCCTAAAGTGAAGCAGCGAGAGAAGCAGAGAAGGCCGGAGAGCCCAGATAGAGTGAAGACTTGCCTCCCGGCCCCCCAGCACCCTTGCCTGCTGTGTATCGGTTAATCCCAATGAAAGACCTGCAAAAACCACTGAGGACTCTGACTCCTCCTTTACCTGGTCTGCATGGGATCAGAAAACCTGCACTGTGGCCATTCCTGCCATTACAAATCTCATCCCATTTTTTTCTTTTACTGCATAGATAGGTAAAATGCATTTTGCCTCCCTACTTGCCCTGCTTTATTCATAAGTTCTTTAAGGGAAAAAATATAGCAAACAATTATTACTGAATTCCAAATTCAAGATTAATAATGACCTGTGCTGGGTAAGCAGGAGTATATTCTTTGCAACTAGACAATTAAAGTTCCCTTTAGTGAGACAAAGTATAAAGCAACATAAACAATTAGAAGAAAAATGTGCAAGGTCACTTTAAAGAGAAAGTATAATACCCCAGCCAAGCTTCCAAGTAAATTAATTGAGGTTATTTGCATACCTAAAAACACAAACTGAGGGCCTCCCCGGTGGCGGTGGCGGTTGAGCGCTGGGTTGAGAAGCTGCCCGCAGCCTCTGCAAGCCGGTTGGATCCCGGGCCACCAGGCGAGGGTCCCAAATGGCGCGCAGACCTCTCCTGCTGCCCGCGGCTCCCCTCAGCAGTGTACTTCGTCCATCTGCCTGTTCTGCTCCCCGCTCTGGCTCTGGTGAATTCTCTCACCCTCCCGTGCTTCTGACTGTACCCAGTGTTTGTATAAATAAATAAATAAATTTAAAAAAAAACCACAAAGTGATTTGGGGTGGGTTTTAATGGAAGTTTAGAAAGAGTGTTCTCAGAGCAAACTGAGCCTTTCTTCCAGGGTACTGTAGAAAGAAAAAACTAAGGCTATAACAATTTGCTCAGCTAGAAATGAGCGGATTTAAGACTAAAATCTATCACACTGTTTTACTTGACTGAAAATATTGCATTGCTCCATTTAACTCATTCACTTAGAAAATACTTAAGCAGCTTTTATATAAGCCATTTTGTAGGATATATGATGAATCAGACATGTGGAATAGTGGTAAGAGATGTATTTTGGCATCACACGGACTGATTTGAATCCCAGCTTCTTGGATGAATCTCTCTTTTAACTGCAGTTTAAAGTCAGTAAAATGAGGTGTTGTTATTTTTTTGTTGTGTGTGTATTTTTTTTTTTTAAGAAACAGGGAAATGTATCTCTTGTGAACAGTACACAACAGGTGCTCAATTAATTTAGTTCTCTCCCCAACACCACGTTGAGTTTTGTAGAAGGTGAGTGCTATTAGGCAAGTCTTCATGGAATGTGGGGATGGTTACCATTGATTTGGATTATGAGTTGGGTTTTGATTTGGACTCGTTAAGGTGTGGGATACAGCAAACACAGCAAACTCTATTACAGTGGCACCGAGGGAGGGAGGGAGAAAACTTGAAACTAAACATGTTCCCTGCCTATTTGCAATATTTCCTTCAGCTTAATGTTGGTTGTAACAAAGTATAATACGACAACAGGTTGACATCAAGACATCTGACCAGCTCTCTAAGGGACACATTTTCCCACACTGGGGTCTATTGATTCATTAAACACTTTTGACTAATTCAAAGAAATTCTGGGATTGCAGCTAACATCACAGTGCTAAATGTGAGGATGCAGAAATTAAGACCTCGCCTCACTTTCCAAGAAGATAAACACGTATACAATTTAAGTAAGTTTAGAAAATTGATAAATAACATCTACAGCCACAGCAAAGAAAAATTTAGAGTTGGGCAGCCCAACTCTAAAAATTATATGAAAATAGGTACATATTACAGACTATAAAATTACACACCAGTCTTGTCATTTCAAAGGAATGGCATTAAACCATTTGAGCGACGCTCTACAGCAAAGTGGGCAAAAAACATTGAGGAAGAAGGATTCAGTTCTTAGTTACATTCTGCGCAATCAGTCCTCACGTTTTTTGTTCCTTAAAAAGGAAATCTTTTTATTTTTATTTATTTATTTATTTATTTTATTTATTTTAATTTTATTAAAAAGGAAATCTTTTTAAGGAACAAGCAACGGGGAGAAACCAAGGGAAGAACACGGATGGACCAGACAGAATTTTTTTTTTTTTTTTTTCACAGACTCCAAGGTGCGGCTTGCCCCGCCCACGTGGAAGGTTTTTGGCCACTCGCCCCTCCTCCTTGCGATTCCGGGGACGATTCTAACGCCCACTGGAGGCGTCCCTAGTGACGTCACTTGCGCGATTCCAGTCTGTGGCCAATCACGCGGCTAGATTCCGGGGAAAGCCCGGGCGGCGGCGGCGGCCTGTGCGCGTGCGCGAGCTCTCCGCGTGGCTATATAAACATGGCTGGCGTGACCGCGCGATGGAGCCGCGCGGAGCGCATGTAGGGGGCTGTGGGGGCGTTCGGGTTTGTAATTTTGAAATTTCTGGCGGGGGAACCGCGGCGCCGGCTTAGGCAGGGAGGTGGGAGCCGAAGTGACGCCCTTCCGGGAGCCGCGCGGCGGGGCTCGCTGCAGCGGAGCCGCGGCTGAGGCGCCGGGCTGACCCGGCGCACGTGTGAGCGCCGCCGAGGAAGCGGGGATCCGGCCCCGCGCCGCCGCCGGGAGGAAGAGCCGCACGCGCCGGCCCCGCCGCCCGGCCCGCGCCGCTCCCTCCCCCCTGGCTCCGGCTCCTGCGCCTCTCCCCAGCGATGCTGTGGAGCCGGCGTCGCTCTGGAGTTGGCTGCCGCTCGACGAGCCTCGCCTCGCCTCAGCTTTCCGAACGGCGGCGCCGTCGCTGCCGCTGATCTGCCTGGGGGATGCCCGCGGGCCTCACGGAACCGGCCGGCGCCGCTCCCCCCGCTGGTGTGAGCGCCTCCGGGACCTTGACCATGGCCCCTGCCGGGCTTCTGCCCGTCCGGGTGGAGACCACTCCTGTGCCCCTGGGCGCCGTGACGAAGGCTCCCGTCAGTGTCTGCGTGGAGCCCACCTCTTCCCAACCCCTGCGCTCCCCCGTCGGGACCCTGGTGACCAAAGTGGCGCCTGTCAGTGCCCTTCCTAAACTCAGCAGCGGCCCCCGGCTGCCTGCTCCTCAGATGGTCGCGGTGAAAGCCCCCAACACTACAACTATCCAGTTGCCTGCGAATTTGCAGCTTCCTCCAGGTATGTTGGTCACCTTTTCCAGCCCGTGCACGGGCCCGTCGGCGGCTGCAGGGGCACCGTCGCAGCCCTGGATTGCAGCTGCTCCCTGGGAGCGCTGAAAAAGCTCGGAACCAAAACAACCTTTGATATTCTTGACTTTGCAGGGATGAGATTTGGGTTTACGGTTAATATAGCCTCTGGGTCATTACTGCATAGTTTTTCTTTTCGTACTTAAGGAAAGGAGCTTTTCACGTAAGTGACATAGTAAAAGGTAGAATCGCATATTTAGGAGGGCCTTTGAGGCACTGGCTGCTTTGGTGAGGGAGGACAGCGTATTGCGAAAGTTTATTTTTATATGAAGAAAAGGTGTTGCTTATTTACAGTGCTAGAAATACAGACTTGCCTTACACCAGTTTTGTCCCAAACTGAATTTCTCAGGATTGCTTTGATTTGTTTCTTTATGATTGAATTATGTTGGCATTCTTGTTCATGAAAAAAATATATATATATGAAGAAAAGACCAATTTATATAATCACACGCTTAGATTTTGTTGTAAAAAAAGTGCTTCAAAGGCTCTTATGTGTTGAGTCTGAAGGAATTTTAAAATTTGAGCAAATCAAAATAAGATTTCTGCTTTCTGGTATCAGAAATGAATTGTGCTGCGCATGCATGAATGCTACAATTAAGGACTATGACAACTTGTTATAGTGTTTTACTCCGTTGGGCTATTTTCCGTGATTTATACAAGGGGTTTGGTTTGTGATCATTTGCATTTGTAAATATGCTGAATGTCATTTGAATCTTTTTCCTTTTTCCCCCTCAAAGTCTGATGGAATTTCAGTTGGGGAAAAAAAAGCACATTCTTTGGAATGATCTCCATTCATAATTAGATTTTCTTCTACTGATTTTGCTTAGCATTAACTGAAATTCAAAGATGGTAAAGAAATGGAAGCTTTGAATCAACAGATTTGATATCCCCCAGCAAAATGACAGGTGCTCTTTTGTAGCATATTTTATTTGGTCAAGAACTTTGTGACTCTATTACAAAGTTTTGTTTCAGTTTTGTGTGGGACAGGAGGTACAAAGACTTACTAAGGTTGAGTGCCCCATTGGGTACATTATCAACCAATTATAAATTGTCATCTTGCAAACATGCTTATAAAGTAATTATATGAATGATTTTGAAATTGCTCCATAATTTTTTAAAAACTAAATTCCATTCTACTCTGTATGTTTAGAAACAATAAAAAAGAATTAAAACTGTCAAGAGTGAAAACTTGCTGATAATGGGAACTGATCACTTCCTGGGGTCAATTTGATAGGCACTTTTTATACATTATTTATATCTTTTATTTGCTGGTCATAATAGGTGGGTAGCAAATAAAGACTACGGTGTCTAAGGGTAAATAATTTGCCCAAAGCCAGGCAATTCACAGGTGTCAAAGGGAATTTGGGTCCAGGTCTGTTTGACTCTAATTTGCATAAAACTGTGCTTATCACTTTGTGTGTGTGTACAGTATGCCTCACTGATGATCAGTGCTAAAAAGTGATTTAGAGCCTGTTCATTTTATAGAACAAAAGACCGGAACTGAAACTTGTCCTGAACTAAATAGCAACAAAGTACACAGCCTCAGTATATCCTGCACTAAAATATTTTATATTACTGACTGATGAAATTCCCACAAAAGAGAGGAAATGAATTGTCTTTGGAAATTGTTAGTACAGAGGAGGTGTGGAGCTGCTTTGAAGGGTACTTTTGGGAATTTCTACTAGTGTGTGGCATCAGAATACATGAAAATATTTGTTCTTTCATTGGTGCAAAATAAAATAACCAATAGTTTAGAGATGAAATAGAAGCACCAATTAAAATGGCCTCTTAAAAAGTTATGAGCTTTATACCATTTTTAATATGTTGAGGATTAACAGATTACCTGAGGATACTTAAATTATACAGAAGTCAGCTATTCTCTTTTTTTTTCCAAAATAATGAATACTGACTGTATTTGATTTATCTTTACTTGAGAATTTTCTCAACAAACAAAACTGGTTTTTGAAAATAATATGGGTGAAGCAGCTGGAAATAAAGTGAAGGGGGAGCATTATGAGGAAATGAAAGAAACTGTAGTGAAGCTCTCAAAATTATTATGTCAGTTATTTCTGGTAATCTCTTTAGTTTTCTCTTGTGAACCTATGAGATTTTAGCCTGCCTGTTACCCTTTGCTTTTGATATTCTGTCTCTTCTATCTCTTATTTGAGAGTGATGAGCAAGAATTTGCTTACTTTATGTCATAAACTGTGATAAGTTCTGCTACTGTCATATTGTATAGAAGTTTGTGAAAGTTACTTGCAACATGTTTGAGGTCCTTTTTCATCAACTCCTTCAGGCTCATACACGGAAGTTGCATCTTAGATTCCTGAGCTAGTCCGCTGAATAACCTAGTGGTTCTTGTTTCCATCCTGACTTTATTAAAGGGTTTCTACATGATCATCAGCTTCCACCGTTGTCACAGTGCTGCTGGACTTCATGAAATGAGAGTTTATTCTTTTTAGTGCTCGCTATACGCCATCCACTGTTTGGATTTCAAAGGCTGTGGAGTCAGCCTAACTGGATAGTGTCAATAGCATTATTCTGTGGATAGTCATCCTCAAAGAAAGTGCCAGTACTCTCTTCCTGCTGCTCTTCTTCAAGGCTAGGTTAGGCTCTCCCATTATGTGTTCCCACCTGCACTTTCACCACCATAGTACTCTCATACTCTTATTATTGCATCCCTTTGATTCTAAGTTCCAGAGGTAGGGACTCTGGCATGGACTTTATTAACCCCAGGGCTTAGTAAATTGTTTGGTGCAAAAAAGAAAGCACTCAAGTATTTGAATGCATGCATGTGTATTGTATGTGGAGAAAAGAAGGGCAATAGGTGTAGCTGTTAGGGGATTCCAGGGGCCATCACAGTATCAGTGATATTGTTTACACTATATTATGCGATTACAAATACGATAGTAAATATCTTTGTAAATGTTGTGCAGTTTTATAAACGTGTATTTTTATAGAATAAATTGCTAGAAGTGGAATTGTTGGTTCAAATGGTAATACTTTAATAAGTACTGGTAAATTTACACCCAGAGATTTTTTAAATGCAAAATCAGCCTAATTTTAAAATGTCACCTATGGACTATTTTTTTAAATTTAATTTATGGTAAGAGGAGATGAGTAGAGAGAGGGAGACTTTGAATAAAAAAGTGTAGACTGGATGATAACATGGTTTTGTTAATTACAGAATAAATATACCTAAGAATGCTCTTGTTAGTTTGAAGTTAAAATAGTATATGAAAAAAAATAGTATATGATATGTAGCAGCCAAGACAGTTTAGTTCAGGTCACAGAATAAGGACTAGGTGTGTTAATCAAGTTTGTAGGTAACAAGGGACTTGGAGAATCAGCCTTTGGGGGAAAGTAGTACATGTCACAAAACAGGCTAGAACATTGGCCTTGAATCAGTAGACCTGGATTTGAATCCCAGTTTTACCACTAAATAGTGTTGTGCTCTTGGCAAGTTAACCTTATGCTCAACACCATTTTTCTTACATCTGAAATGTGGACCATACCTTCTTCATAGAAGTATCATAAAGATTAAATGAGTATACAGGCCTGCTGTTACAGAACTGTAGGGGGCATCATTTGTGTGGAATACACAGTGGTTGTAAATAGCAATGTCCTGAATATTAAGGTACCTGTATAGCGTTTGGCTCTAGATATTCTGTGATACCTATTCTGTATGTAGTAATATGTATTGGTGTCCACTAGATGCTCAGTAGTTTGAAAGGGTGACTCTCTAACTTTAATGCCTTCCTGCCCCGATTTTTTCAAATTAGAAAATAATATTTGTTTTAGAAAATTTGGAAAACATAGGACAATTACCCAAAAATATTTTGAGTGTATTTTTTAGTCTCCTTTTTTTTAAAATAATTTTTTAAAAGTATTTTTGCATAGAAGAACTGGGGCCAGAGGTTCAGGGGTGAGAGGATTCACCAGAGACAGAGTGGAGGGCAGAACAGATGAATGTACCAAAATACACTGCTAAGGGGAACAATAGGGGAGACAGGAGAGGTCTGCTGCCCCATGTGGGTTACCTCCCTGTCCCGGGATCGAACTCATACAGTGGCCGTGATAGCGCTGAGACTTAACGTATAGGTCACCAGAGAAGCCCTAGTCTCCTTTTTAATGTTGATTTTATTGTGCTGCACATTTTGACGTTAACAAAAGCAACCACTTTACAGTGTATTTTGAAATATTTGACAAAGATGTAGCCACCACTGCAATCTACAGAACATTTTATTCCTCAAAGCTTTTAGTCTCTTTGGAAGAAAATACGTGCATGCTTTCTCTGCTTTCACAGAATTGGAATCTATGATGTAATTTTATATTCTGTATTTCATTAATCATTATATACTGACAACTTTAAATTTAATTTTAATGGTTGCATAATTCATTAGTTAGTCATTCCTCTGACTGCTTTGGTTGCTTGTGCTTTTTGGTTTATAAATAAAAGCAAGCCAAATGTTTTATATGTAGATTGTGGTGTATAGCTTAGTTTCTTGAGACAGGTAAAAAGAATTGGAATTTCTGGAATCAAGGAAATGAGCATTTTGAAGTTATTGTATGCAGAATCCCTGTCCTGGAAATCAAATAGATTTCTAGAACTTCTAAAGTACACTGGACATAATTTTTCTCCAACAATCTTATTTTTCTTTGTAAACTAATCCATATGTAAAAACAGTAACAAATATGGGAAATTGAAAAGGAAATAATGATCACCTAAAATCTTATGGTCCTGCTTTTAAAAGATGAAACTTAGTATGAAAAAATAAGCAAAAATACCTGGTGGGGAAAAGGTGGATTTTTCAATAAATAGTTATGGGGAAACTAGACAGCAATATGCACAGAATGAAATCAGACTGCTATTTTACACCACAAACAAAAATTAACTCAAAATGGATTAAAGACTTGAAGGTAAGACTTCAAACTTAAAAGTTCTAGAAGAAAACATGATAGATAAGCTGCTTGACATTGGTTTGGGAGTGCAGCAAAATCTTCAGCTTAGTGAAGGAAACCATCAACAAGATGAAAAAGACAGTCTACTAAATGGGAGGAAATATTTACAAATCATATCTCCAATAAGGAGTTAATTTTCAATATAGATGATGATCTCACAAAACTCAAAGCAAAAATTCCAATTAAAAAATGGACATGGACAGATCATCTGTGTACATTATTCCAAAGGAAAATGTAGATAGCCAACAGACACATGAAAAGATGCTCAACATCTCTTATCATTGGGGAAAGGCAAATCACAGTGAGATAGCATGCTCGCTGTTCTCAAAAAGACAAGAAGGAAATCTTGGTGGGGATGTTGATAAAGGGGGATATTAATACTTCTGGGGGAAGTGTAGCTTGTGGAATGTGAAAAATAGTATGGTGCTTCCTCAAGGGGTTAAAATAGAACTGCCATGGGATCTAACAGTTCTACTTCCAGAATTCCAGGAAAACAAAAACACTAATTAGAAGAGATATGCACCCCTTTGTTCATTCAGCATTATTTACAATAGTTAAGGTATGAAAACAATGTAAGGTGTCCACCAGTGGATAGTCTCTCTCTCTCTCTCTCTCTCTCTCTCTCTCTCTCTCTCTCCCCCCCCCACCCACTGTATAAGTTGAAAAACATATTGCAATTTGGAATGATATGCGTAGACTCTTGGGAATTATGCTAAGCAAAATGAGAGAGAATGACATATAGTCTATGATTTCACTTATGTGTACAATTTTTAAAAGTGAACAAGTAAGGCAAACCTCATAGACTCAGAGAACATATGTTGGTGGGGTGGCCAGAGGGGTGTGGAGCTGGGATACATGAAATAGGCGAAGTAAGTCAAAAGGACAAACCCTGAAAGTTAACTTTGTGTGGTCACAGATGTTAACTAGACTTACTGTGGTAATGTTTTCACAATGTATACAAATATTGAATCACCTGAGACCAACATAATTTGTCAGCTATGTCACAAAAATGATTTTTGATAACAAATGATGAAACTTAATAGAAGGAAATAAGCTCTGATTTGACAAGTCAGTTGTGTAAGTAGAGAGCAGGGCATGCATCACAAAAATAGTAGAATCTGGAATAAAAACTTAGTGATTGATTTAATTATTTCTTTCATTTTCTCAAAGATTTATGGAAAAGAGAAAAATTTAAGTGTCTTTTAAGCTCATTAAGGAAAACTGTGATATCTGAAAAATTAAAGGAATTGGTCCCATGGTGCCAAAGGAAAGAAACAAATGTGAGTGTTAGTTGCCTTTAGGTGTTTAAAGGACTGTGCTATAGAGATGAAAGTAAGCTTATTTTGTATAGGTGCACAAAGAGCCCTCACACAGGATGCACATTTTGTTAGTACAAAAACATTGGTTTTATACTTATGTTTGTTTCTGAAATATGTTATTCTTTTTGATGCAGTTGTAAATGAAATTGGTTTCTTAATTTCATTCATAGTTATTCTTTATAAGAAATACAGTTGCTTTTTGAGACCCCTGCTTAAATCCTTATTGATCTTGTATCCTGCTGCCTAGCTATGTCATTTATTAGTTTTAATAGTGTTTGCTAAGATTTTTCCATTATCTGTGAATAGTTTAACTTTTTTCTAATCTGAATCTCTTTTATTTCATCCTCTTGCTTAATTGTCTTGGATAGTACTCTTAAGTACAATATTGAGTAGAAATGGTTGTAGGTATCCTTATCTCATTCCTCCTCTTCATAGTCTTGTTTTATTCTTGATCTTAAGGGGGAAAATTTTATTCTTTCACCATTAAATATGATTTTTAGATGTGGGGTTTTTGGTAGAAACAGTCTATGAGGTTGAAGAAGTTTCCTTTTATTCCTATTTTGTTGAGTGTATTTATCATGAAAAGGGGGTGTCAAATTTTGTAAATCTTGTTCTACACATTGAGATGATCATGTAGCTTTTTAGCCTTCTATTGATAGGGTATTCTATTAATTAATGTTTGGCTATTAAACCAACCTTGAAAATTGAAATAAATATTTTGTCATGGAGTTTAACATTTTATATGTCACTGGATTCAGTTTGCTAGTACTTTGTTGAGATTTTTTTTATCTATATTCACAAAGTATGTTGGTCTCTAGTTTTCTTATGATGTCTTTATTTGACTTTGGTATTAGAGTAATACTCATCTTGCAGAATGAATTGAAATATGTTCCTCTAATATTTTTTGAGTATTAGAGTAATACTCATCTTGCAGAATTAATTGAAATATTTTCCTCTAATATTTTTTGGAAGAATTTGTGAGGATTGATTTTTCTTAGATGTTTGGTACAGAATTCATCTGTACCTGAACTTTCTTATGAATAATTTTTGGATTATTAATACAGTCTGTTTGTTAGAGGTTTGTTCAGTTTGCCTATTCTTATTTCTTGAATCAGTTTCAGTAGTTTGTGTGTTTCTAAAAATTGTTCCATTTCATGTTTATCTAATTTATATGTAATCAATTCATAATATTCCCTTATAATCCTTATTTCTGTAATGTTAGTAGTAATGTCCCCTCTTTCATTCTAGATTTCAATCATTTGAATGTACTTTTTTTTTAAAGATTTATTTATTTATGCATACAAGGATGGGGGTACAGGCCAGAGGTGCAGGGGGGTGAGAGAATTCACCAGAGACAGAGTGGGGAGCAGAACAGGCAGATTGACTGAAATAAACTGCTGATGGAAGCAGCGGGTGAGTCAGGAGAGGTCCGCTGCACCATGTGGGCTGCTCCCTGGCTGAGGATCCAACTCATGCTGCAGAGGCTGTGGTCAGCCTCATAGGTTGCGTCTTAACCCCTTGTGCCACCAGGGAGGCCCTGAATGTACTCTTTCTTTAAAAAAATCTAAACTTTTGTCAAATTTGTTGGTCTTCTCAGAGAACCAATTTTTGTTTTAATCTCCCTCAGTTGATTTTCTGTTCTGTATTCTCTTTACCTCTGCTATAACCTTTATTTTATTTTTTTTCTGTTTGCCTTCATTTTTTTTTTTTTTCTTCCCCTAGTGTCTTAAGAGGGAAGAAGTTATTGATTGCAATTTTTCCTTTGGATTGCTGGTATTTACAACTATATTTATTGCTCTAAACAGTGCTTTATCTGCATCCCATAAGTTTGGTATGTTGTGTCTTAATTTTCATTAATTTCAATTATTTTTCAATTTTGCTTGTGATTTCTTTTTTGACCAATTTCCTATTTGGGGGTGTGTTATTCTGCTTATTTTTGAGTTCCTCCAATTTCTTTTTGTTATGGATTTGTAATTTCATTCCATTGTAGTTGGAGACTATACAATTTGATTTCAGTCATTTTTAATTTTGTGGATGTTTGTTTTATGCTCTAGTATATGGTCTATCCTCAGAATGTTCCATGTACATTTAAGATAAATGTTGTTGTGTATTCATAGATTTGTTCTAGGTCTGGTTGGTTTATATTGTTTTTCAAGTATTTGATTTCCTTGTTTTTTTGTCCTTTATTAACAGTGGAGTACTGGAGACATTCAAGTATTATTACTGAATTATCTATTTTCCCCTTCATTTTTGTTGGCTTTTGCTTCATGTGATTTGAACTGTGTTGTTTGGTGCATGTATGTTTATAATTCTTATATTTCTTGTTCCATTGAGTGTTTTATCAATTATAAATGTCCCACTAGTAACACTTTCTGGTTTTGTTTATTGTCTTATATTTGCCACTTTATTTTGGTGGGTCTTGCATGTACTTACATCTTTAGTGTCCTTTTTACTTTAAATGTTTTGTATCTTTAGATGTAAAGTGTCTCTTCTGCAGACAGCGTATAGTTTAATATTGGATATTGCTTTTTAAAAATCCACCTGATACCTTTTTGCCTTCTGATTGGATTATTAAATCCATTCACATTTAATGTTCCAGAAAAAAGTGGGTTTAGGTCTGCCCTTTACTTTTGTTTCTCTATATTTCCTGTCTTTTTGTTTCTCTTTTTTGTTTTCTTTTGTCTTACATGAATATTTTCCTGTTTCATTAACATCAATTCAGTATAGTTATATATGTCCACACATCCCCAAATACACATAAATATTTTAGTGGTTACTCTAGGCTTACAATATACATCTTAAGTTATTTCACATTCATATTAACTTACTTTGATGAGAGATAGAAACATTTTTCCTATTTAATTTCTCTAATTTTGTGCAATTATTGTTGCTCTACATATTGTATCCTGACCCATTATGAATCCAATGATACCTGGTTATAATTATTATCATATGTAAATTTTATGTCTTTTAAAGAGGCTGGTGTAAGAAAGGAAGAGGATATATTTGTAATATTTATTTTTTACCTTCTTATTTGCCATTTTTGGTTTTCTTCATTTGTTCCCATAAATTTGAGTTATTTCAAGTCATTTCCTTAGTACAGTATGGCTCTGCTCCCACCCACTTCCTTTGTTCAGCTATTCACAAATATACTGTGTTTCTATATGTTATAGGTGCAGTGATACAATTATCTACATATTGTTCTATAGAATTGTTTTTTATTTTATTTTTTTTTAAAGATTTGTTTTATTTATTTATATACAAGCACTGGGTACAGTCAGAAGCGCGGGAGGGTGAGAGAATTCACCAGAGCCAGCGGGAAGCAGAGCAGGCAGAAGGACCGAAGTACACTGCTGAGGGGAGCAGCGGGCGGCAGGAGAGGTCTGCGCGCCATGTGGGACCCTCCTCCGGTGGCCGGGGAGCAGCCGGGGATCGAACCGGCTGCAGAGGCAGCGGGCAGCTTCTCAACCCAGCGTTCAACCACTGCGCCACCGGGGAGGCCCATTGCTTTTAAATCAATTGAGAGAAGATAGCAGAGAAGTAACATGCATTTATTCTGTCAGTTTACGTTTACCAGCACACTTTTCTTCTTTTCATGTGAATTCAAATTATTGTTTGGGGTCAATTGTTTTCACCAGAAGAACTTCATTTAATATGTCCTTTGAGGTGTGTACTATCTGTAACCACTTCTCTAGTTTTTAGATGGTAATGCCTTTATTTTACCTCCATTTAAAAAAAAAAAAGATTTATTTATGCATACAAGAAACTGGGGTGTAAGCCAGAGGTGGGAGTTGGGTGGGGTGGGTGTGAGAGGATTTACCAGAGACAGCAGGGAGTAGAGCAGGCAGATGTACTGAAATACACTGCTGAGGGGAGCAGCGGGTGAGACAGGAGAGGTCTGCTGTGCGTGGG